ATTAGAAATCCACGGGGCCAGCATCTCGCAGGGATGTGCTGGATCAGTCCGGTAGGGATGTGGTGGCGGCCGGGTACGCCCTGTATGGCAGTGCCACCGTGTTCGTCATGTCGGCTGGCAATGGTGTTCACGAGTTTATCCTTGATCCTGTGAGTCTGACGACGACGATGATGACGTCATCGTCCATTGTACATTGTCCATCCATCCATACATACATACATACATACATACACACATACATAAATACATACATACATAATCCATCCATACATACATACATATAAACATACATATATACATTTAATTTCACAGCTACGCACAGTCTCTCACACACACTCTCACACACGTACACACACACATTTGCAGACGATAGGCGAATTCATACTGACAAGTTATTCCATGAGAATTCCGAGCGCTGGTCGAATGTACTCCATAAATGAGGGTTACTCCAAGTACTGGTACGCTCCGATACAGCGGTATGTACGTTCCCTTAAATACCCCAAGGTATGTTTTCGTGTGTGTGTGTGTTCGTTTGTGTGTGTGTTTTTATGTGTGTGTGTTTTTATGTGTGTGTTTGTGTTTGTTTGTATGTGTTTGTTTGTGTGTATGTGTGTGTTCGTTTGTATGTATGTGTGTTTTTATGTGTATGTATGTGTGTGTGTGTGTTTGTGTGTATGTGTTTGCATGTAGGTGTGTTTTTGTGTATGTGTTTGTACGCATGTGGGGTTTTTACAGAACTAAAAGTAAATAAAAAAACTTTTTTTCTTTTAGGAATTTCCAAATTTTTGGATCCTAAAAATAACCACCTTCTATTTATATAACCAGGACGGGAAAGACCCGTACTCCGGAAGGTACATCGGGGCGATGGTGGCTGACGTGCACAGGACCCTCAAGTATGGCGGGATCTTTATGTACCCCGCCACTAAAGATTGCCCCAGAGGGAAGGTTCGTTCGTGTGTGTGTGTGTGTATATGTGTGTGTTCGTTTGTATGTGTGTGTGTGTGAATTCTTATTAGAAGTACACTCGCCATACTCATGTATAAATATAGAAACACATAGGCACACATATGTACACCCATACACACAAACACTCAAACGGTCGAACTCTCTTTCTCTCGCTTTCCTCTCTCTCTCTCTCTCTCTCTTTCTCTCTCTGTCACTCACACACATATATTCTCTCTCTTTCTCACACACACTTACACACCACAGACACACACACACACATTTGCAGTTGCGCCTAATGTACGAGTGCATCCCGATGGCATTCCTGGTGGAGCAGGCAGGGGGGCTGGCCGTGACCAACCCCGCAGGGTCCCTCGTCAACGTGCTGGAGGTCAACGCAGGGTCATCGGTCCACCAGCGCATCCCCGTCTTCATGGGCTCCAGAGGGAACGTCGAAGAGATGATTGCGTGCTTCCAGTGTGTCATGAACGGAGATTGCGATGATGATGATGGTGGTGGTGGTGGGAGTGATGGTGGTGGTGGGAGTGGGCGTGATGGTGGTGGTGGGAGTGATGGTGGTGATCGTTGGGGAATAGATAGGAAGAAATGATGATGGTGATGATGGTGGTGGGGGTCATGGTGATGGTAGCGATGATGATGATGATGGTGAATATACATTGAATTACATAAACATGAATGATTGGAAAGATAGATGAGCGAATGAAATAAACAACAGACACACACACACACAAACATACACACACACATACATACACACACACACACATACATACACACATTCATACGTTCATTCATTCATATTTTAGTTCAGTTATTTATCATTATTACATTATTACATTATTACTCTAACATGAAAAGATTGAAGTCATATTAAAATATTTAAATTAGAATAATTATTCTCATCAATATTATCACGAAAGTTATTTAAATATAGCCTTTAAATAATTAAATAAATAAATATTATATACATATATATATAATTAAATTTAATTATAAAAATAATTATAAAAACAACATTTTCATGTAGTTTTTAATTTATGACTGGCAAATGTATAATTGACGAAGTTTCTATCTGTGTGTGTGTGTGTGGTGTGTGTGTGGTGTGTGTGTGTATGTGTGTATGTATGTGTGTGATCTTACCAGCAGTGAGAATGTATGTGTGTAAGTGTGGCGTCTTATCATTTCATCCATCCATTCATTTTGTGTGTGTATGTGTGACTGTGAGTAACATCTTATCATTCATACATCCATTCATTAATTCATTCATTCATTAATGCATTCATTCATCCATCCATCCATCCATTCAATTTCATGTGAATGTATGTGTGTGTGCGTGTGCGCGCGTGTGTATATATGTTTTGGGTACAAAGTTCTGTATACTTTCCGTCATAAAATAATTATTATATATAATATAATATATAGTGGTCTATATAATTTATATATATATGTATCATATATTATATTTTTATAATATAATCTATAATATTATATATAATATAAATTAATTATCTTTAAATATTAAATAACAAGAGGATAAATTGACATCATAATTTTTTTTTCTTCCTAAATGACTGCTTCATTTTCTCCCAGTTCATCTTCATATTATAATTATATTAATTATATAATATAATATTATAGTATAATATAATTATACTATAGTATATAATTTATTATTATTTTTATTATGTTATAATTATTTATAATTTTTCCCTTCACAATTCCTTGACGTATGTTAATGGAAAGTATCCTATCTGTGGGTTGGTGGGAGTTGAAAGTTATTTGCGTGGAGGATTGTGTGTGTGTGTGTGTGTGTGTGTGTGTGTGTGTGTGTGTGTGTGTGTGTGTGTGTTACTCTTTCGATATGTTCTTTCATTCATTCATTCATTCATTCGTTTGTTTATTTGTTCAGCTGTTCATTCATTCATTTGTCTGTTCATTCATTCATTTGTTCATTCGTTTGTCATTTTCCTTCCCCATTCATTCATCCATCAATTCATTTTTCATTCAATCACCCATCATCATCA